CTGTGGCTATATCATTAGTACATTTCCACCAACAGTGCACAAGTATGATATGTATATGTTTTGATTTTGACCACAGTACCTGACTCATAACTTCTTCCCAAGGCAGGCCATAGATACTAGAATTTTTCTTCACCAAGATGGGCTGTAGAAACTCTGATATTGCACCATTCTGTCATGGAGCTGACCATAAAGAAATCCTCTGACCTACCCTTGTCATTCATCCTTTTTCAACTTTACAACGAGAAACATTTCCTTAAACCATACTTATCCTCCAGATATAATAGCAAGTTTATAATTATGCCTAAGTGATACAACTCTTCTGCATACAAACAGAAGCACACTAATTCCCTCCCCAGACCAGAAGGCAGTTTTTTTTTGGATGATATTTACTAATCTAACCTTTCATAATTTAAACATTATAATAGAGATTTAAGAATACTAAACCATGCTGGGTGTGGTGGTGCATGCCTGTAATCCCAGCACTTGGGAGGCTGGAGGCTGAGGCAGAAGGATCGCTGTGAGTTCAAGACCAGCCTGGGCTACATAGTGAGTTCCAGGTCAGTCTCAACTACATTGACCCTATCTCAAACCACCCCCTCCAAAAGAACCAATGATAAGTCTGTCAACATTATGTTACAAAGCAAACAAAGGTATCTGCTTAATATATGTGTGTACAGGTACAGTCATATTACAAAATAGGAAAGGAAAATGAACATTTGTAACTGGTCACATGGTAATAGTTATAACTACCTTCTTCTACTACCTATTCTGTATTCCCTTGGCCTTCAGCAAGCACCTCAGCACGTCTTGTTTCTTTACCTAGCGGGCTAATCCACACACCTTCATTACCAAAGATTTTGGATCATTTGTCATCCTGTGTGATTAGGTTGTTGTTTCCCATTGACCTTCATAACAAGGCATGATAATACTGAGAGGCACCCTAAGGGATCTCCTATTCTCGAAATAAATTCTTCTTTCCCTCCATTATGGATTAATTCTCCAATTTCTCCTTGGAAGTCTGGGTCAGTCATCCTTGCCAACACTGTGACTACTTTTTTAGCTTGTTCACTCAGAGAAATGAGGAGCCCCAAATGACTAGGGGAAGTCTTACCTTCCAGTTCAGTGGAATCATTGTAGGGCTTCCTGGTACATGCCTTCCCTGCTCTGGATCTAAAATTTCTAGGTCAGCAGAGCATAAGGTTGCGGGATCAGGAAATAAAAATTTTGCTAGTTGGTTACTGAGAGTTAATGGTGAGTAGGACCAATCCTACTTTCACCTCTTAATTACTGAATCTGTGAATCCTAGCTATGGAAGAAATTGTACCATATAGTGGATACTGATTCAAAGTCTTCTAGAGATCCTTGCCCCAACCCTACAAGGTATAGCCACCTAGCTGGTGCTGTAAATGCATCTTCAAAAGGGCATTCCACCCATCAGTCCATCAGTCCATCCATTTTCTGGATGGTGAGGAACATGGAAAAACCAGTGAAGTCGGTAAGCATGAGCCCATTGTTTCACTTCTTTGGCCATAAAATGTATTCCTTGGTCAGAAGCAATGCTGTATGGTCAGAAGCAATACCATGGTGATTGATTAAATAGTCTGTAAGTTCATGAATAGTAGTTTTGGCGGAAACGTTGTATGCAGGGAAGCGTACCTGGAATAAGTGTATGCTAATAAGGACAAAGTGCTGCCTTCTCCATGATGGGAGATGTCCAGTATAATCAATCTGCCACTGGGTTGCAGACTGATTGCCCTGAGGAATGGGTCCATGTTAGGGACTCAGTGTTGGTCTCTTGTGCTGGTATAGTGGACATTTAGCAGTGGTTGTGGCCAGATCAGTCTTGGTGAGTGGGAGTCTGTTGTTGAGGACCATGAACAACCTCCATCTGTGCTACCATAGCTACTTTGTTTATGAGCCTTGTAAAGGTTTAATTAATTAATTTGTTTTTTTTGAGACAGGATCTTACTCTGTAGGCCAGGCTATCCTTGAACTCATGGCAATCTTGCCTCAGCCTCCTAAGTAATGGGATTACAGCCATGCACCAACACACCCATTCCCTATTATAGTTTATATCTGAATGTCCCACAAAACCTCATGTGTTCATAGGTGAGGCCTTTGGAAGGTAATTAGATCATGGATTAGTCCTCTGAGTTTATGCCTAAATGTGATATTGGAGGGTAAAACCTGTCTATGGAGGTGGGTCACTGGGGGTGTGGCCTGGAAGAATATACCCTCCTCCCTTGATCTCTCAGCTTCCTGCTGCTATGTTTTGAAGGCAGTTTTCCTCTGCTGTGCTGTCTTGCCTTGAAGCCAATGGACATTGCACTGAAACCTCTGCAAAATGTGAGCCAAAATAAACTTTGTAAAGCTGTGGATGTCAAGTATTGTTTCTCAGTAAAGAGAAAGTAACTAAGGCAAGCCTATTGGGCAATGACAGGGAGAGCTGAAGAAAAAGGTTGACTGCTTTCATAGATCAGGTTATTCCATCTACTTGATTATTAAAACCCTCTTCTGCTGAGAGCCCCTTTGGGTGAGTATTTACATGGAACACAATTATCTTTATATCCTTCACTCATATGGAGAGGTCTGTTCACATACCTGTCCCCTAAATATTTGTCACCAATTTTCCAGTAGTGTTTCTTCCAAGTCCTTGACAGTCTGGCCAGACTATTGGGTATAGCTCATGAATCAGTAGATAGTTGTATATCTGGCCTTTTTTTTTTTCCTTCTAAGCAAAATGTACAACTCGTGCACTGCCTGAAATTTTGCCCACTGTGAAGATTTCCCTTTGACTTTTCTCATTCCAGGAGGAGTACTGCTTCTTTCTTTGGAGGAAGAAATTCTGAAGAATCTAAGTAGAGAGACCTGGGTTTTGACATCCTATTAGTAGTCATACCTGTGCGATGAAGTCTTCATTAAAACCCCAAAGCGCACAAGCTCAATATGACTGATAATGTCAAGACTCCTAAAGGCTGGTATGCCTGGAGAATGTCTGAAAACTTTGTACCCCTTCTTATGCCTTGCCTTGTGCATTTCTTCATCTGTATCCTTTATAATAAATTGTTTCTCTGAGTTCTATGAGCCACTCAAATAAATTAATCAAACCTGAGGAAGGGGTTGTTGCTACACTGATTTATGGTTGGTTGGTCAGAAGCTTAAGTAAAAACTACCCGAGGCTTGTGACTGGCTTCCAAAATATAGAGGGAGTCTGTAGGTCCTAGGGACTGACCCCTTACCTGTGAGATCTGACACTCTCTCTAGAGAATGTCAGGATTTTAACTGAATTAGAAGATATCAAGCTGGTGTACATTGCATAATTGATTGCTTAATTGCTGGTTGGGGAAAAATCCCCACACTTTTGGGGTAGAAGTCTTCTGTGCTAATTGTGATGTGTGAGTACAGGGAAAACACTTTATTTTTCCGAGACACACAAAGGTTCCAATTTCTCTATATCCTCACCAACACCTATTATTTTTTTATGATTTGTTTATTTTTTTAAATGATAGCTGTCTAGTGGTTGTGTCTTATCATTTTGATATGCATTTCCTTAATGATTAGTGTTGAACATCATCCCATGTGCTGCTTGGCCATTATATATCTTCTTTGGAGAAATGTCTATTCAAGTCTTTTGTACACTTTTGAATTAGATTATTTGGTTTTTGTTTTCCTGAAAAAAAATTTTTTTAAACTGAAAATTTATAAGAACTCCAGGATTTTGTTGGGACCTTGTGGCATTGTTATATGGCTTGAACTCTGCCTAACATTTGCTAGATACTTCATAATCACACTGATACAATTTTTCTTTTTAAAGTCAAGGTCTTGCTATGTTACCCAGGCTGCCCTTGAACTCATGAACTCCTGCCTCAGCCTCCCAAGTAGCTAGGACTACAAGTGTGTCACTATGCCTGGCCAAAAATATTCTTTATTTTGTGATTAGAACTTGTATTTAAGCACCACTTTTAAACCAATGATTTTCAGTATTATGAGGGTTATAGTTCATTAGGAAAGCATTTCATAATCATTTGGTTTTTATAAAAATTGCCCACAGATATCCTCATCTCCTATCCCCTTATTGATGTGTTTCTCCTTACTTCTAGAGGAAGTGTGTTCTATTTCTCAGATGTCTGAGAATAGAAGAAAGGTTGAGAATCGTTATTGTAAATTATCTGGAGAATGTAGCTTTCCACATTTTTCAACACTATCTAGCTTCTAAAATTCTTCCTCTTTTTTTTTTTTTTTTTTTTTTTGTGTGTACGGGGTGGGGTGATGATCAAACTCAGGACCTTGCCCTTGTGAGGCAGATGGGGGCACCACTGAGCTAAATCCCTGGCTGGTTCCCTGCTAGGTATGTTTATTTTACTTTGTCATTTCAGCCCCGGAACCTTTAAGTCACTTCTATATTCATTTGTACTCTGGTGTAATTGTTGATATCGTGATGGGCAATTTGATCCATAACATTGAAGGTTACCTAACACCTAACTTTATTTTTCCTTAATTTCTGTATTTCAGTGATAGTCAGTTCTTCATTTCCTTGAAGTGTACCCACTCACATGGTTAGAAACAGTACTACATCTGACCAGAATCTTCTAAATTTTCTATATATGCATCTTTCATAGTTTTAGTGTTCTGATCTATCTTAATTTCTCTGTATATATAACCTCTTTTGGCTTTATCCTTTTGCTGTACCAGCAGCATTACTGTTGTATTCCTTACCCCATGGAAGTATTCATCTGTAAATCCTCTACCCAGTTTGAATTTAAATATCTGTGAATTATATGAATGGTGTTGGTGATTTATATGTTTATCTGTACCTTTAACATAGCTTGGCAGTAGTCTAGCCAGTTTTTATTTTATTTTATTTTTTTACTGTTTCTAACATTGTTATTGTTTTACCCTCTACTGTTAAAATATTTGCTTTTCTCACTGTTGGCTTTCTATTTTATAAGGCTTTTAAATTAAAACTTGTTTTACAGATCTTTGGGGTACTGATAGCTGCTGTTGGCAAAAAAGGCTTGTGGTTGGACATGGTGGCATGCCTGCAATCTCAGCACTTTGGAGGCTGAGGCAGGAGCTTTGCCTGGAGTTCAAGGCCGGCTTGGTCCACATAGTAAGTGCCAGGTGAGCTTGAAACACAGCAAGACCTTGTCTCAACCTCCTCACCTCCCAAAGGCTTATGTAGTCGAGTCTGAGATATATTGCAAGTTATATCTCTCCTAGAGATTTACAGTGCTTATTAGCAAATTGAAGAATCTGAACTGTTTTTCAGGAAAAACTTTTAATGTAACTTTTTAATATAGCTCCCCTCAACAAAAATTAAACCCAGTAAGACCCAAATAACCTTTTAATGAATTTCACTGCTGTGGCTGAGTACTTTTTTTTAAAAACTGTCTATTCTTTCCTTTTTTTGGGGGGGGAGGTTTGAGACAGGGTCTCACTGTGTAGTTGAGTCTGACCCTGAACTCACTATGTAGCCTAGGCTGGTCTCGAACTCACAGTGATCCTCCTGCCTCAGCCTCTGAGTGCTGGGATTACAGGTGTGAGCCACCACGCCCGGCTGTTCTTTGCATTTTCACTGTCTTGTTCTGTAATCTGAAGCAGAAACTGACACTCATAGAAATCTATTGTTTCTCTTTTGGGCGTGGTGCTGTAATCTCAGCCTGAAGAGGCCAGTTTAGACTACATGGTGAGAACCTGTCTTATATAAGACACACACACACACACACACACACACACACACACACACACACAGACACACAAATGAGAAACAGAGAGACAGAGAGGAGAGAGAAACAATCTGTTTTTGCCAGTGGGTAAACTCAACTCACAATGCAAATGTGTGCACCAATTTACATTCCAAATTTATCATTGTGCATGCTATTCAGTGGTCCTGAAAAATCTCAGGGTTTGTGAACACATTTTGTTTGTTCATCTCATCTTAGGTATTAGAATTTTTTCCTCCTCTTCCTTTTAATTAATTAAAAACAATTTTTTTTTGGAGACAGGATCTCACCATGTAGTTCAGGCTGGCCTTGAACTCATGGCGATCCTCCTTCCCCAGCCTGAGTGCTGGGATTATAGGTGTGTGCCACCACATCTGCCTTCTTTTTAATTTAGATATTCCTTTATAAGAGATGTGTATGTACATGATAAAGGATTTTAGACCTTCAGAGGAATTAGCAGCTTCAGGTGATGACATTCCAGTAGTGATTAATTTCAGTATGCATACTTTCCAAGAATGCCACTATCTCTAAGAAATAATCTCTTTCATTAATCTTTTTTATTTCCCATATTTTGGGAAAAGAACTTTTATCTTCAGACTTTAACTGCTTGATTCTCTCTGCCCTTTTCCTTTAAAAACTAATAATGCAACATTGTTGCTTGTAGTACTTTTCCTTGAGACTTTTCTGGATGCATACTGCCTCCTTTGGTTGTATCTTCAGTTACACTACTTTCTGCTAATACTCTGTCAAAAAGCAGAAGAAACTTTCTAAATGCTAATTGTGCTCTGACTTGCTGTTATAGCCCCGGAAATATCTCTTCTTATGTCATTTACTAACTAGAAAATTCTATTTCAGTTTAATTACTTCATGATGAAGGGTTTGTAAGGCTTTTCCTTTGGGTTTTCATAGTATGGTTTACATTATGTTGACTTTATTTGTTTTTGTGACTTTTTCTTCTTTTAGATATGAATCTTTTATTTATTTTTGTATCCCTATCTCTTTCTTTCTTTTTTTTTTGGTACTGGGGATCGAACTTGGGTCCTTGTGCGCTTGCAAGGCAGGCGGCGGAACCACTGAGCTAAATCCCTGGCCCCTGTATCCCTATTTCTTAACCTAGCACTTTATATATGAATGATCACAACTAAGGTTTGTTATTTAATGCCAGATTATATTTGTTTACCTGAAAAAATATAGTCTCAGCTTCCTAATTTGCAGGGCCTAATGCAAAGTGAAAATGCAGACAGGGCTTTTTGTTTAAAAAGCAGAAGAGGGTACCTGCCACTAGAGGCACTAAAATATAGTGTTTTCCTTTCTTGTATGCTTTCTCTTGTAGTGTTTTAAATTTACTTTTAATGTCATTCAAATGGAGTAAAATTAAAATTATAAATTATGAAATACACTGTTCATTTATATTGTGCAGTGCCAATTTTGAATTCAAATGTAGAATTGCTGGTATTTCATAGCTAGTACGTGTATCTGTGTTTCATTCTTACTAGAACAGTGGAAATGGCTATGTAAAACTTACCCAACTGTTTTATGTCACTTCTTGATACTTGAATATTCTAGCAACACTATAAAGCAGGGTGGAAAGAATAAGGAACTATGAATTGTGCTATTCTTCTCTTTCCTTTTATGTAATCATTTTTAGCACAAATGGTTCAATAATTTAGGGAAGTGTGACATAAGGAAATATATACAATTTCTTGGTCATTCACCCCCACCCCCTTTCTTTAGAACAAGAGCATTTATTTGTCAGTCATGGTACTTGTGCATTGTGGATTGAATCTATTCTGCTGTTGGGAAGATTATTCAAATCCTTCCCTTGTCTTCTTTTTTTTTTTGTGGTACTGGGAATTGCACTCTGGGGTCTGTGCTTGATAGGCAGGCACAATGCCACTGAGCTAAATCCTCAGCCCTATTTAGTTCAGTTTTAAACTATTTAGTTTGTACAATTCCAAGTTTTAATAGTATATGCTGTGTTCCTAAACCTCTTTGTCTTTCCCCTTTTATATTTTTTTTGTCATGGATATCATAATGATGGGGATATGTTTTAAGAAAGATGTTATTAGGCATTTGGATTTGGTTTTGAGACAGGATCTTTCTATGTAATTCAGTCCATCCGTGAACCCACTACATAGCCCCCGCTGATCTCTTAACTCACCTTAAGGTGGTGCTTCTACCTCAGCCTTCTGAGTACTGTGAGTATTGTTGTGTGCCTCCATGCTTGGTGTTATTAGGCATTTTTCTCACTGTACAAACATTAGCATATATTTACACAAACTTAAGACATCTATGATGTCACTATCATAATTTTATGAGACTCTTGTCCTGAGTGTGCTTTGTCATTGACTGAAACCTTATGTGGCACATAATTTTATACTTTAATATATTTTGTGTCCATTAATTTAGGTTTATAGCTATTTTTATTTATATGTCTTTTAAATTATATAAAAAGAAAAACCCAAGAGTTACAAACCAAAAAATACAATAATTGACTTTTGTTTTTACTTAGGTGGTTAAATCTAGTAATGTTTTCTACTTCTTTTTGTTTATTTATTTTTAGTTATTCTCTATTATTATTCCCTTTCAATCTTGAGAACTCATTTTGGGAGTCAGGGACAATGGTAGATGCCTATAGTACCAGCTTCATGGGAGACTGATGTCTTGGGAAGACCACTTGTGTCCAGTAGTTAAGTCCAGCTTAGGTAACACAGCAAGACCTCATTTCCAACAAAGAAACACAAAATCACATTTTGGTATTTCTCACAGTGCAGGTCTACTGGTAGTGAATTTTGTTGGTTTTATCTGGAAATACAATTTCTCCTTCATTCTTTAAAATAATTAATTAATTAATTTATTGGTACTTGGGATCAAACTTGGGACCTTCCGCTTGCAAGGCAGGTTGGCAGAACCACTGAGCTAAATCCCTGGCCCTTATTTTTATTTATTTATGTTTTTTGAGACAGTGTTTTGCTATTTACTCTACAGTCCAGGGTGGCCTTAAACTTGTTATATAATCCAAGTTGGCCTTAAACTCACAATCCTTTCTCAGCTTCTTGAGTGCCCAAATTATGTGCATCATCATGCCCGGCTTCCCTTTCATTCATCTTTTTTTTTTTTTTTTTTAATTCATGTTTGCAATACATGATGATTCTACACTCATTGTGAGTTGATGTGTGTACATGACACATCTTAATTCTTTTTGCTTCTCTTTGCCTTCCTTCTTTTCCCTTCTCTGCCCTTTATTCTTGGGAGGATAATTTTGCTGGCTAGGGAATTCTTTTTTGACATTTTTTTCCCCCTTTCAGGATTTATATCTTATTGAGCTTTGGAGACCTCTGTGGCTTCTTATGAAAAACCTAGTTTGTAACCTTTGTGTTTGATGAGTTAAAATCTCTTGCTTATATTTTGTTTGGGTATTGACAATTTGACTATAATGTATATTAGTGTCAATCTGTTTTTCTTTTTGTGTGGTACTAGGGATTGAACTCAATGTGGATTTCTTTTGGATTTATTCTGTTTGGAGTTTATTGAGCTTGGATATGAATAGTTGAGTCTTTCATCAGATTTGAGAAGTTTTGGCCACTGTTTCTTCAAAAAAAAAAAAAAAAATTTTTTTTTTTTTTTGGTACCAGGGATTGAACTCAGGACCTTGCACTTGCAAGGCAGGTGTAGTGCCAGTGAGCTTAATTTCCAACCCAATCAAATTCTTTTCTTCACTGTTCTCTCTCTTCCTCCTGTGACTTCTGGGCGCATGCACAGCGTGTGTGTATGTGTGTGTGTGTGTGTGTGTGTGTGTGTGTGTGTGTTTTCTTTTTGATACCAGGGATCTAACTCAGGACCTTGTGCTTGGGAGGCTGGGGAACGACTGAGCTAAATCCCCAGCCTTCTCCTGTGACTTCTATTATGCATATTTAGGTATACTTTGGAGGAAGAAAAGAACTAAGGAACCTAGGAAATAAAATATAGCCCCCAAAATTTCAGAAAAACTGTTAGTGTTCTTGTGAGAGATTATAACCGTGAATCAAGGTCAGTGTTTTAAGAAGGATAATAAGTGAGAAAAATCTTATAAATAAAAATGTGGTAGAAGAATTGGAAGATAACGTTTAGGAAACCACCAAGGAGGAGGAAAATAAAGAAAATTGGGAAAATGGAGAGAAATGATAAGAAAATTGGAAGGTTAATTTAGGAGGACCAAATTTTAATTAATAGATATCTAGAGAAGGAGAACTGAAAAGATAAAAAGAAGGATGCCATAGGAACTATAGTATAAAATTTTTTTCCAGAAATAAAATATATCAGAAATTAAAAGAACTGACTGAATACCCAGTAAAATGAATGAAGGAGTAGGTACAAAGCTTATCATTTGGAATTATCTAGACCACTGTGCTAAAGATA